TCCATGAATTAGAATCATATTACATTTCCTAATGAGAGAAAGTGTGGTATGGAGGATGTTATGGAGAAAGATAGATATCAGGCAGTAGCATAACGTAATTATGTTACTCATGGAAGTTATTTTTTATTTTTTTGGTATCCAGCATTGATTATGGTCATACTATGCAAGCGCTGTGGCGATGTTGGATGCCTGAATTGGTGGGTAACATGCATCTGACTCAGCGCATAAGTTGATTGGTGAGCGCACGTGGTGGCTGCGGGGCGGGTCTGCTGAGAGATGACGTCGTTGGTAGGGAGATTTTGAAGATCGCGACATTGGTCCATGTCAATCCCATGTCAGTCAATGATCGATGAGAGTCAGATGAGTCTGGTCACGGAAGTATCATTATTCCATTGCTCAATTTTGCTTTACAGATAAGCTAATCATGTAACTGGGTCTATCCGTGCCCTTCTCCTAGCCTGCCATGCCAGCCATGTTCTCCTGCCTACGAAAATCTGCTTGCTAACGTCCGAAGAAAATAACAATCATTAAGCATAAGAAGAGAGTTCACATTTGCACCCCTGCCCTGCAATTCCGTCTGTTAAGGACAAGCGAACGTGGTCTATCAGTACCTGGGCGGCTGGGGTGCCTGGTAGGGGGAATAGCCTCGTGGCACTCCAGAGGATTGTCCATATCCAGGCTGGTTGGGGTGAGGAGAGGGTGCACCATATCCACCACCGTATTGCTGGCCATATCCCGATGCTGGGGCCTGACCCTGGCTCTGGTAGGGGGGTTGGCCGTATCCCTGGCCATAGCCTGGGTTAGCGCCGTAGCCCTGTTGAGGTTGACCGTAGCTGGGAGCAGGGGGATATCCGGGTTGACTGTAGCCACCACCGTACTGTCCACCCCGGGGCGCTCCTCCGGGAGGCCCAGAAGGAGGCCCAGAGGGAGGTCCAGACGGGGGAGCACCGGGTCCACCAGCTCTGCCAGCGGCCTTCTCATCTTTGGTGTCGTACGAGGAATCAATAGCCCCAAGCATCAATTTAGCGCACTAGAAAAGTTAATAAATTGCAGTGTGATGTGTTGAATTGGAACATACCCAGAGTTCACGAGTCAAGTACACGGGTGGCACAGCGCGTGACATTTCATCCTGTTCAACCTCAAAGTCTGTTGACAAACATCAGTAAACCTGTTATGCTCGAAGGGCTCTACTAGCGTAGTGTGGACTTACTGGAAGTGCAATCAATCAACGAGCCAATTCTTGGGTCTTCGTCCAGCGAGGCAAGAAAATCCCGAGCCTTGGTGTCATTGCCCACCTGCGAGAATTGGAAAGAAACGGCACCCTGTCCATATTGAGTCCGAGCGACCTCGCTCACGGCGTAGCCGATAGAGCTAGAGACGCTATCAAGAGGCTCTCCGGCGGGTTGTCCATCCGTGATGGTAATGACAAGAACTGGCTTCTGCAGGCGACCTGCTCTGGCCGGGCCCACAACCATGGGATCGAGAACCTTGTTGCGCAAGCTGGTTCCAAGGGGAGTAAGGCCTTGGAAGCGGACGCGCGAAACAAGGCGGCCAACATCCTCTGCGTTGCGGATTCCATCTCCCTGCTCCGCATTGTTCATGAACCGTACCGAGATGCCATCGTCATCGAAAGTAGACGCAGCAGCAGCAACAATTTCAATGATCTGCACCAGCTGCTCCTTTCTGACGCCGCGCTCTTCGAATTCGATGGAGCCGCTGTCATCAACATAGAGGATGACGTCGAACAGAGACAGTTTCATAATGTCCATAGCCACCTCTTGGGGCACACGGAGTTCGTGCATCAGCTTGTTGACCTTTCCTGGGGCCTCGTTGGCCAGCGTCTGAACCAATCGATCCAGTCTCTCTGGGGCCAGAAGCTCTGGAGTCGTTTCTCCTGGATAGTTCCGATCAAGAGCTGTCTGTAGGCAGCGATCTGCTGGTCGGATGCGCGGGCAGCGGGAGGAGCACCTCCAGGGGCACCGTATGGCGCTCCCGGTCCACCAGGTCCGCCGGGGTAAGGTGCATTCTGCGGGGGGTAGGAGGGGCCCTAAACCATTGAATCAAATTAGCATGTCGGTCACACCACAGTCGAAGCTAAGCGGTTACGCGAGAAACACGACTGCAGATGATTGGCAAACAAATGCGGGTATCTGGGATATAGTATGTACTTGAGAGGCTTGCTGTGGAGGATACTGCGGTCCAGGAGCTCCATAGGGCTGAGTTTGTGGTGGGGGAGGCGGGGGTCTGTTATAGCCCTGCTGTGATTGTCCATATGGTCCGGATGGAGGCTCCCTAGTACCATATTGAGGTGGTTGCGAATAGCCCTGCGGCGGTGGTGCCTGTGACCCATAGGGCGATGGGGAGTAAGCCTGAGGAGCCGGAGATGCTGACGGATAAGCGGGCGCCGAGTAAGACGGTTGAGAGCCTGGATAGGGCGATTGAGAACCCGAATAAGCTGGGTGCGGACCCGGCGATGGTGAGGGAACCGGCTTGTTTGGAGGGGCCGACGAAGGCGCGTAGGCTTGATACTGAGGCTGCTGCTGCTGCGGGGGCGGCGAAGTCGGATATGGGGATTGCTGGGCCGAACCCGGGCGTAGCTGAGGCGGATAGCCGTATTGGTTATAATAAGGTCGCGACATGGTTGAAGATGGTGTCCAGATTTTCCAGCAAAGGGGCGAGGAGGGCAAGAAATAGAAAAGCAGAAGTGTGACACGGGCGCGAAGAGAAGGTTGGAGGGGCAGAAGGGGGCCACAGTGGAGAGGGAAATGAACCCTAGCTCTCTTTCATTCGATGAGAGTAACTCTCACAATGGAGGGAGAGGGTGACCCAGCAGTGAGGAGGGGCAGTGCCAACCGAATGAAAGCGAGAATTGGGGAGAAAATTGGGGAAAGAAAGAAGGCACGAGAAAAGGAAAAAAACAAGTTCTAGCTTACCGGACCAGCAGATGGTGCAGGGGAGCCTTGATAAGCCTGATACTGGGGTTGTTGCTGTTGCTGGTGGTGGTTGCAAAGAGATGCGTCAGCTTTTTGTGGAAAGTGATAAATTGAAAACGAACTGGGTGAAGATGCCGGGGATAAAATTGAACGGTTCAAAGAAAGGACGGGAGAAGAGGGGCGGAGGGGATCACTAAAGAGTTAGTTTTGCCCGGTAGGGCGGGGACTTACAGGATTACCACTAGAAGAAGGATTGTTGCCAGGCTGCAGTGCAGCTGGAGGGCCTCCAGCATAGCCTGTCGGAGGTGCGCCTCCATAAACGCCGGGCCTGTTTGCGCTCATGTTGTTGGGTGGTGGGTTTTGACTGCCGGCGATCTTGGATGCAAACTAAAAAGAGGACGTGCAGGATGCAGCGGTTAGTTGGGTGGTATTCGATACAGCCTGCTCGAGGCTAAATAGTAGTCTTGAGATATAGTATAGTAGTAGTAGAGTATGGTCTCAGGAAAAAAGAAGAAACAACAGAAACACTTAAGGTGAAGCGGGGCAGATACGCGGGGCAGAGAAGAAAAACAGAAAGAGCAAGCAAGATGTAAAAGGGATATATGTTGGGCACTCACCCCCATCTTTTCGAAGCAGCTGACGTCCAACTACGTAGTCAGTAGGTAGTAGATAGAAGAAGTATAGTCAGGGGGGAAAACAATAAATCGGGGAGAAATGGAGAAGGTGGAAAAAGGATGGCGTCAGAAGGAGAGCAGAAAACCGACGGCACTACGGCGTCACTGCCATTATAAAAGCACTGCCCATGAAGAGATCCATCCAAGCAAGAGCTAAAAGTGCTAAAACAGCTGGACTAGGACTAGCCGACCTCGGGATGACGACTGGCCCACTCCTTCCTCTTCTCACATAGACCCACTGTTGGTTTGTGTCCTGAAGCTATACCCAGCTGCCCCCTTTCCCTCACTTAATACTTACTTGTTCTATGATGGCAACCGGCAGTTGTTGACCGTAGTGATGAATATCGCATAATAATCACGAATCTTTCTTCTGATCCCGAGGTTTCTGAGAACATGTATCGGGAACTACAGATCAGTACAACTGTACTATAGCCTGTTGGAACCCTGCAGGAGTGCATTGATGTCAAAGTCTGTACAAGCCTATCGTTCATCCCGTTCCCCGCACACCAGAAGCATTCTGGATGATTCCGTAGGGCTGATTTCATCCATTTGGTGTTCTTCCTGCCAGCCTCAAGGATCAGGCTAGATTAATTCTTGTAACCTAGCAAGGCTGAATTGCTGACAAGCCACTCTTCTCACCATATTTGAGCAGAACAATTTGTACACGATATTTACCTGTGCCTCCATGAAGAGCTGGTACAGCCACAGCTGACCAAGCGCAGCACATGATAACTCAATATGACTGCAGACTGACTTCACAGCAAACCCAACAAGCCATCACCATCCCAGCTGACCACCCTTGCCATTTCGTGCTCGGAATCACGGCTGTCATGGGATTGGGGGCCATAGTTGACCATGCCTGTGCATGCAGTAGTCAGAAATAAGCTTGCAGGGTAGAGGATCTGCCGAATCAACGATGGGCCCTCATCTCAGGCATCGTCGGGGACACACAGACAGAACGCACGGATCGGCGCAGCCAAACAAGCTACATCATTAGCTCGGCTGGAACAGACCAGAACAACAGGACCCCTGGTGTAGTCTAAAATAACATTTTTATCAGACCTTCTAGAGCATTTCAGAGCATTAAGCATAAAATAAGAGGACAGAAGATGACAGGGCAGGATGGCAACAAAGACCAGATTCCACGGGGGGCCACTGATGTCATGCATGCCATCGCCGGTGCAGAAAAAGCTTCACATCCCTGCGACCAGGTTCGAAGAACAGTAACACAAACTCTCCCTGAGGACCCTTGAAAGAGCACCCCCAGTGCTATTCTTTATCCCTTGTTTCATCTCAAACACTCACTACAGTGTTGCTGAATACTTTTCCCCCCCAAGGGACTGAATGCAGCTCACCCAGTCGGTATCATTATTACCGGTTTAACCCCCTTTGCACCTCAATCATACATACATACCAGTCCACCTCACTTCCCCCCTTCGGAAGACTCGTTCATTCCATCCTTCGAACGTTCGGACCATGTTCTTTTCTTCACCGTCGCTCGATTTTCAGAGCTCATCCTCACTCTTATCCCTCCCTGACGATTGAGTTCATTTCATCAAGTAGCACAACTAATCTACTACATACAAAACAAGTACGTGGTTTACATTCTCATCACTCTTTCCATCAAACCAAAGAAACAAACACTAACCTCACCATAACACGTCTCACCAGAACCAGAAATCCAAATAAACTGAAACATGTCCTCAACCTCAACCATCCTGCGCGTGGGAATCCTCACCGCAGACGAAGGCGCCAAAGCCATCCAAGCCATCTACCTCCCAGCCCTTCGTGCCCTTCCCACCTCGTTCCAGGTCCAAGCCATCCACGATGGCTCCAAGCAGCCCCTGTCATACGAGACCGACATCAACGGCAACATCTGCAACGACCATGACCACCACCACCACCACCAGCAGCAGTACGGCACCGGCACCAGCACCACCATCCCCGTAGCCCCCACCCCCGACGACATCCTCAGCAACCCAACCATCGACCTAATTCTCAACTTCATGCCAAACGAGTACCACGAGACCTACACCATCGCAGCCCTCCACTCCGGCAAACACGTCATGGTGGAAACCCCCCTCAGCCTAAGCATCCCCAGCGCCAAACGCATCATCGAAGCGGAGAAACACGCCCCCAACGGCGCCAAAGTCTTCGTCGCCTGCGCTCGTCGCTACGCCCCCAGCATCGCCTCCGTCTTCCGACAAGAAGTCGCCAGTCTCGACCGCATCTACTACGCGCGATGCCGCAACATCGCAGGCCCCAGTTCCGCACACACGGCCACCGCTCCGCGCAAGCAAGTCTGGAACGAGGTGAACGGACACGGCCAGCCCTTCCCCATTTCACCCCCTTCTTCCCCCTCGGACTCCATGACCGGAAAAACCCGCCCCCAGCTCCTCCAGGGTCTCCTCGAAGAAGCCTTCCTCGGCCAAGACCTCAGCAAAGAGCGCGTCGCCCTGTGCGAGTTCCTCGCCTCCCTGGGATGTCATGATCTAGGCTTGATGCGCGATACCCTCGGCTATCCGGACGCCGTGTCCAGCATCTCCGTCAACGAACCTTATTACTCTGCCGTCTTCCACTATTACAGTGGCGGAAAGAGCGAACACGCGTTCACGCTGATGTACGAGACCGGGACCGATGCGGTGCCTCGATGCGATGCGCATCTAACCATCTACGGCGATACGAAGACCGTGAGCGTGCAGTACGGTCTGCCGTATGGTCGACGGCACGGGGTGAAGGTGGTTGTCGAGACTGTTGATGAGAATGGGGATATGAAAAGATCGGAGACGGTGAGTGCGTGGGAGGAGAGCTATCGCGAGGAGTTGAAGGCGCTGCATGCGTATTTGACTGAGGATAGGGCTGTGAAGACTACGGCGAAGGATGCGATTCAGGATCTGAGACTGTTTCAGACCATCTTTGAGCAGTATGATCGCCAGTGTGGGACTATTCGCACTCCGTTGGGTTGAATTGTTTATCTGTCGATTGATCTAATGATGGAGGGGCATGTGTGGAGGGAAAGGGTGGGAAAGATTGCTATTGCGTTTGCCAGGCGCGGTCGTTGATCAAGCTGGGATTGTTTTTATTTTATACTAATTACCTTGTGCATCACGCTTATGGTTTCTATTTACGGCACGGAGTCTAGTGGCATGCAGTTGATCCGAGGGAACAGTTTTATTATGTATCATGCATATCATTGATTATAGTACGGCTCAGATTGCTACTCACGATGGAGGATTGAGGCCGTTCACTCATCAGCGTGTGCTCTATCTAGCTACAACCCGAGACTATCAAATATCATTCCACATGCTTCGTCTCTGCAACATGCAACAACAACAACTAGATTTGGTATCCTGCCAGCAAATGCAATGCAAGAACGGAGGCAAAGTGAGAAAGAAAAAGGGGAAATAAGGAAAGCGGTGGTTATCTACTGCATCTACCGCTTGCCCTTCTTCTTATTCTTCTTCGAGCTAGAACCTCCACCGCCTCCTCCCTGAGCCTTCTGAGTAGGCGGAGCCGGGGACTCTTCAGCCTTTTCGTTCACCACACCACCCTGTGTGCGCTCCGCAGCGCGCTGCTTACCCTTGCGGCCCTTGGGGCGGTACGAAGACCGATCGCGAAGAGGCAGCCAGCGCTCCGGGTCGGGTGTCTTGCTGGGATCGTAGTCCTTGGGCAGACGGTCCTTGCGAACGCGCTTGGTTGCGCGGTCTTCCTTGTCCTTTGCGCTTCTCTTCCGGGCGCCGGCCATGGCGGCGGCGGCAGCGGCGTTGGCCGCGGAGGAGGGGGAGATGCCGGCGTTTTCGAGGGAGGCGACGTTGACGCCTGAGATCAGGTCCGCGACGGAGGGGAGACTGTCGACCTGGGATTCTACCTTGGAGTAGTCGATGGTTGCCTGGGAGGCGACGTAGCCGGCTACGGCGAACTGGTCAGTCGAGTCTTTCTGGTAGAGGGACTTGAAGAGGTCGCCGGCTTTGGCGAGGTCGGAGTGATCGGAGGAGTGCAGGAGGGATGCCCCTGCGGCGCGGAGCAAGGAGGCTGGTGGCTCGGCCGATTGGCTCTGCCAGTAGGTTGCGGCTTTGGCGAGTTCGGTCCGGATCTGGACTTTACGGCCCTCCAACTTGTAGAGGGAGACGAGGATGCTCAAGAGGCCGGGGTTGAAGCGGACTGCTTTGTCTTGCTCGGAGATGGACTCGTCGAGCAGTTGGAGGGTTCGCTCTAGTGTTGTGATTGCGGACGTCGTGTTGCCCGCACCCACGTAGAGCTGGACGGCTGTGAGGGCAAGGCCAAGGTCCTTGGGCCGTCTGTCGAGCGCAGATAGTATCCGCTTCAGGGCCTTGGTGCCTGTTTCTCCACGTGCATGAGCGGCAGCGTTGTAGACTGAAAGCAGGTTGGCACGAGGTTCGGTCGAGGGGTAGCCAAATTGAGCGAGCGCCTTCGAGGTGGAGCGGATGATGCCATCATATTTCTGAACGAGGAGGTCGGCCGAGTATGAGTTTCCCGTCGCGAGGTTATCTTGGTATTCGAAGAGCTTGTCGCTGTCGGTGGATTCGGGGATCTCGTGAAGAGCCTTGTACAGAGCGAAGGGATTGGTAGTGGTGGTGCCACGGGCAAGCGTAATGTTGGTCTGAGCGATCTTCTTCGTCGAGAGCTCGGGAATACTATTAGAGTTATGTGAGCTTCCGATGTTCAAGTTCAGCCAGGGTTCTGTGACAAACATACTCGCTGACGGAAATTTCCTCCAAGACGGACTGCGCTTCCTCCGACTTTCCTTGGCGAAGCAAGACGTACAACTGCTGCACGGCGATCGGGAGAAGCTCGGCAGCCCGGTCTTCAGGAGTGAGATCCTCCGATGTACGACAGAGCTCTGTGTAAAGCTGATCAGCTACTATTCTCGTGCGCCATGCGGGGTTGACCACACGAACCTTTAGCCCGAGTCAATAGAACTTGTCCCTGCTGGAACTCGCCCTTGGCGATACTCAAGCAAGCCGCATTATAGACCGTCTCGAAAGCCTCTAGATCATCCCGCATCGGCCTGCTATGGCGTACAAACTGGGGGTAGCCCTTCCACTGCAGCTGAGCATCCGTAGCCCACGAGTTGATGCGCAGATCGTTCTCTTCGTTCGACAGGGACGCATTGTCTTTCGACAATTCTTCGTAAATCTCGGCAGCGCGACGAAATTTCTCGGAACGGTAGCTCTTTATGGAAGATGAGAGTTAGGATGAGCGGACACACTATAAGAGAAGATATCCGGGTGTAGATAGTATTCCTGAAAGGTAACAACGTACGGCTTGAGCTTCCAAATGCAGTGCACCCCTCTCGCCGGCGACGCGAGATACCACCTCAATTGCCGGGTCCAGCTGGCCGCATTTATATAGGGCATAAGCGTATTCCAAAGCTGCTCTGTTCTTCAAGCCTTCACCGGCTTCTTCGAATACTCGCAGGCAGTCCTCATAGCGGTCAAGCTTTAGCAGAGCTACTGCCTTTATGTGCTGAGCATGCAAGTCCGACTTCGACTTGGCCAGCGCGGCATTGCATGACTGCAGGACTTCCTCGTGGTCGTCAATGGATGCCCGTTGTAGCAACGAGCTCAGCGACTGGGCAGCCATAGCGGAATGTGTGTCAATTGGCGGAACGCGGAAGGGACGAGGGGCCCGACGAGGGCTCGGAGGTAAGGAGAGGTGGATTATTTATCGAGTCACAAATAAGGACATATGCAATAAGCGAGTAGTAAAGTCGAGAGTATAGACTGGCCGAGGATGATCTGGCAGGTGGCCTCCGCTGGAAGCCATGTGTGCGGGATCGAGATATTTCCCCATTGGGGAACTCTGCGCAAGTGGGCGGGGGCGCCCCCCGTAGCCCCCCCAGCTCACCATGTGACTTTTGTTCAAGGCGGAAATGAAATGACTAAATTATGCAGTTGTCGGGGAGTTCTTGACTGATCTAATGTCAACCCCGTTGTGCAACAATAAGTCCCAGTAATGGTCTAGACTACTGGCCGTTGTGCTTCACATTTTATGCCCCTTACTCACCGCGCCACGGCGTTGCTTTTGATTACTCTTCTCTGGGCAATGTTGCATGGATTATGCAGGGGCAGATTACACCAACACAAGCAGACAGCCTTTGACGATAAGCCGTTCAGCTGGGGCAACGAAGCAACTGTATAGGAATCTTTGAAACCAAAATGCACAGAATCGATTGAAAGCATTTGTCTGCTTTCAGCCCGCACAATTAATTAACTTGTGTATCGGTAGTACGAATTCATGCACGCAATATAAGCCCATGCTTTTACACATGACTAGTGGTGTTAATTAGCTTTGGCGACATCTATTATTATCACTGCCCAAGACATAGGAACTAGACTACATATCATATCTCGCGAACTCATCCGACGACGAGCGATAATGAAAATCCATCCGCTTCATCGCGATTGGCCATGGGAAATTACAGCGACTGGAGCAAATCTGATGAGGCTGCAGTGCCGGAGAAAAGGCTGCGACGGCGAGTGGCTCGCAAAGGAAGAGAATAATTCCCTGATGGAGTCGACGCGTGGTCACTAAAAAAGAAAGCGACAGTCAATTTATCGAGATTTTCTTGACATCTCGTGCCAGAGGTTGTATTGGCAGATAGATGCCTTTTTTCTTTTGCTTTCGAGACGAGAACACAATGCACATGCACCACTTGTTGGTCAGTTCGCCAACCCGCAGCAGGGCTTTTCCCACTATGCAACTGGCTGGCGACACAAGACACACTACCGAGCAGATAAGTAAGTCGATAAGCCCATCATGAGACGCACTGCCAAGCGATTCGCCTGCAGCCGTCGTCATCAAGCCGCCGCCCCCGCTGCCCGGTTGGACCATCGCCCCCAAGTGGAATGCGCGTCAATCAACGGGCGGTTGTGCCATCCACCAGCTGCTGCGGCGACGTAGCCCCTAGTGCAACCGAATAGACAGCAGACCACCCAATAAGTTAGGGGTAGTGTACAGTGAGTGCTCAAAGTTTCTGCTACTACCGTAGATGATAACCCTCTGGCTGGCGGCGTCTTTTGCCATCGGAAGCGAGAATGCGACCGCGCCATGAGCCATGGCGATGGGGGAACTGGTACAGGGTAAACCGCTAAGGCGGACCCCTAACGCTACCCTGGGGGAGAGTGTCACCGTCCATCGCTGGAGACATTGGAGACGAAAGCATCAGACTAAAATCTCCTAGAGCGTGTTTGAATGGCCGATCGAGGGCCCCCAGTGGACACCGACCAGGTGTGCCCTGACGGCCAGACCGGCTCTTATTCGACCAAGCATCGTAGACTCCATCCGTGGCTTCCAGCGTCCCATCTTCCCAAAGTCCAGGGCATGGCCGATCCCTGGCTTGTCGCCGGTCTCCGCCAGGTCAGATCCGACCAATTTCGAGCCGTGCAAGTGCTTGTTGCTTGGTGTTTCTTGTCGCCGTGCTGCTTTGGAGCCCCGTTGATCGCCTATCAGCCTTCCCTTTCAACCTTGGCTCCATTGACGTTGTCGCTTGCCCGCTGACCTTCGTCATTCTTTCCGCGTTCTTCTTTCCTTCATCCGTTGGGGTCCAGAGATCGTCTGCTGTTCATTTTATCCTTTGGGTTTTCCTCTCCACGTTTCCTTCCCCCCTTCTTCGCTGCCAATCTTCCCTCCTTTACTCGCCCAGTATCCGGCCCTCCCCTCCTTCCTCCCCCCCTTTGTCCCCTCTTACCGGAAGATTCGACATGGTCTTGCACTGTTAGTGCGATCACTGTGATTATTCCATCCTACTCCAGCCGTCCATTTGCCGGGGATTATACTTGAGAGACACGGAAAATCGAGAATGTGGACAAAACCTGCGGACAAGCCGCGGTCGTCGATGGGGAAGAGAAAGCTGCTGCGCTTTGTCGTCATCAGCTGTATCGTCACTAGCTTCACTATTTTCCTTTGGCCCCGTCTAGAATCCGACCGCGTGACCACGGAAACTGTTTCCAACATTACCATCACCTCCGATGTTGGCTGCCAGCCGGACTTTGAGGCTCTCCGCCGCTTGAATGTCCAGAAACTGACCCAGTACGTGCGACGCGAAGTAGTCG